TTGATTAATAGAATAAGAACTGTATTGGTTTGAACATGACAGTAGATATCATGGGGGAAAGAGAGGGAATTAGTTTGTTGTAATAATTTGAGATTTGTACTGATGATATTCAAATGTAACGGAATTACTGTGCTCAGCCGCCACGCTACTTTTCAAATATGTAAATGTAATATTGTAAAATTAATAAAAAATTTGAAACTAAAAAAAAAAGAAAAGTATGAATGCTTTTGTTCCCACTAATTTGATTGCTCTGTTTCAAACAAATATATGTTTCTCTTAAAGGCTTACAGATACCTTAGAGAAGAAGTGAAATTTTTCCAAGGAAAACCAGTTAAGGTAAATGTGTTATTTTGGGATTTGAAATTATAGTTATGATCATTCTGAACATCATCTTCTAAGAATGTAATCTATCATTTATAGGCAAGAATAAAAGCAAAAGCAATAGCTATAAATACATTTTTGCCAAAGAATGGATATAGACCTCTGGATATGAATATCTACACACAACAGCATTATACAACATCATTGTACTTACCTCCAGTATACAGTCCCCAGCAGCAATTTCCACTGTATAGCTTCATTGCACCACAGACTTGGTCTACAACACACAGCTATCTTGATCCATCACTGGTAAGCACTGGGGAAACGTTTGTTTGTCTGAAGTTTATGCTGTTGTAGACGATTTGGAGGAACTGTCCAAGGAGAGGAGCAATCCATATTACTAGACCTAATGCTATGATTCAAATTCAGAACATTCTGTTTAAGTGGGATCTGGGATGCAAAATAAAACAGATTTAAATTTCAGACATGTTGTAATATAACTTGCTTTCTATTCTTGAATAAAAATACAATTAAGACCTTATTTTTTAACACTTCCAGTGTAAATCTGACTGAGTGTTGTCTTGTCCTTGCTGTATATTGATTTTTATAAATCCATTATACTAAGCTGTACTAAACCAAACAGATGTAAAATTGCATACTGAGATGTTTTGTCATATCCCACTCTCATATGCTTTTCTTCATGTAAATGTTTGTCCAGAAGAGCCAAAGTGTTAGAAATACAAATATGTGTAACGAGAATATTAATAAGCAAAAGTATGATGCTCTTGTCAAAAAACATGAGGAAAAGTAAAGTGAACCAATGAAACCATTGTGCTGTTTTCAGAACTTTACGGATATATTGAAAGTTTCAAATCTACATCTGAAGTATATCTGTTCCATAGGTCACAGCATTTCCAAATACTGGATTTATCAATGGATTTACAGCTCCTTCTTTCAAGCCAACTGCTTCTCAACTGACTTCCCTCAGGCAGTATTCTCCAAGAAACAGGCAAGTTCTGTTAATACATTTTTATCTACCTGGACAATATGCCTGGAAAGGTTTTCTGAAAGGTTTTTTTTTTCCCTGTCCCAGAAATCCCAGCAAATCACATCTACAACATACAATTTCTACTGCAGACAGAGGGACTGGATTGCTAGAGTGTCCTACAATATTCAATCTTTCTGCTGACCAATTAATCAACAGACAACCAGGACAAAACAGAACACGGATGCAAAGTACTACAAGCTACACGAAACGAGAAGTAGGGAGCGGGCGAGTAGAATCCACAGCTTCAGATTCATCCCCCAGCTTAGGCAGAGGAAGGTGGGTATTGAAATTTAGGGTTAAATATTGGCCACTGAGGCTGGGTATGTTGTATCAGTATCTGAGCCAACCATTGTTTATAGAAGATGGTTTCAGTGCTCAGGTAGGGCATCCTTCTTTCAGGCCTTTTTTAAGTGTTTATTTCAGGTAATCTGATGGAGTAGAATCAAAACATAACAGAACATGGAAAGTAATGGTGCAGATATCACATTTATGTGATAATAATATGCACAATAATATTTAGTGTATAACTTACGACTACTTACCAAAAAAGCTGATCGCCACTATATCCACATTTATCAAAGTGGATCTAATTAACACAACTTGGAAAATAAATGGCAATGGAATCACTTCTAGAAACTTAGAAAATGGTTTTTTTAGAAAATGGAAAAACAAGTTATTTAATGAGCATCAGAATTTGGAGTTTTTAATATTTAAAATAAAACAATGTAGATCTAGACTTATAAAGATTGTGCTTAAACTAATCTTCAGTGGAAGTTATAAAACCAAACAGCGAGCTGGGCAGTATATAAATTTAATAAATAAAATCTGGGTTCAGGTTGTTGGATATTTCTGATACTCCAGAATGATAGCTGGAGTGCTATAAATAAATGGAAAGCATAAATTTGAAATGTGGGGTCCTTGGTGCTCTCTGAGCTTGGTTGTTTTCTTGCAGATGTTTCATTAGCAAACTAGGTAACATCAGTGCTAGTAGAGAGTGGGGTTTGCTCCCTATGGATATCCATGCAACTTCATCAAAAAGTGCCTGACCACTCAACCTAATAAAGCACCGGAATGGGACAACTCGCCATGGCTGTTTCACCGTGGCTGTCTTGAAGAAATAATATTGAAGAAATGGTGGAATAGAATCATTAAAGAAAGGATGCTAAAGGAGGGACAAATGAAATGTGAATGACAAAAATTAAAATAATGTAAAAGAAACAGTGGTGGATAACAGTAATATCACGTTGAGTTATCCCGCATTGAGTTATTCTGCATTGAATTGTCCCATGGCAAGTTGACCCGCAGTGAGTTGGCTATCAAACCTGGCTCTACTCCATAGTTGCCTGCTTTTGCTCGCAGTTTTGCCAAACTGACGGGAGGAGGGTGGTGAATTCCTAAGGGCAGGGGGAGGCTATGGAATGCAAGTGAACCTTCTGTTGCCAGAGAAACGTTATCTACCAAGGCCAAGTCATGAAGAATGTTTGACCGGAGCAACAGAACTGAATTCAGTTGGTGAACTATGAACTGTGGGTGGCCCAGAGGGGAAGAGGGGAGTTACCTATGTGGGTTTTCGTGGGAAAATCCCAAAACTGACTTTGATTCTGCCGTGCCTAGATGGATTTTTCAATAAAGCTACACTCTTGGTCAATTTAAAGAGCCGGGAGTTTCTTTTGTTGAAGGTGCCAAATGGGACAGTTGACATTAAGTCAGTTCTCCCAGTAGTGTCTACCTGGATCCCACTGGTAGGCCAAAGACCCGAGATGTTGGCAACAGGCAAAGAATAGGAGGAGGAGAAGAAGCTGGAGGAGCCCCTGGCGCAAGAAGCCCCAGCAGCGCTGCAACCTGGGGCAGGGGCGCAGCCAGTGGCCAGGCGTCCAAAATTGAGGGCTGAGAGCCCCAAGCAGCAAGCCTAAGGGAGCGGCTGCAGGATGCTCTGTACCAGAGACCGAAGACTTGCTGGGTGGCAAACATGGGGAAGGCGGCAGAGGCCGAGGACCCCCTAATTTCTGCAGGAGTCAATGTGACCCGAGGAAGCAGATGGAAGGCGAGGTGACCAGTCGAGTGGGATGAGCCAATCAAGTGGAAGCTCCCTGCCGCCACCCATAGCTCATCAATGGAGGAACCAGGAGAGACGTTGGGAGGCCTGGCAATCAAGGGAGCGGTGTCATCGGGAGCCAAGGCTCCAGTGGTTGGGATGGGGGGAGTGAAGTCACTAACCACCCCGTCTCCTCCCCTCCTGCAGCCGGTGGTGCCAGTACCTGCTGGGACAATTGGGTTCCCCCCTGCAGACAACAGCGGCAGTGGATTTCGCCGCCTCTCCCCCAGCATGATAGCAAGCCTTCCCTCCCGGCAGCAGCAGCAGTCCTACACCCTGGGTACATCATGGTGAGAGACGAGCGACCCCCCCCTCCACAATTCAGTTCGATGGAGACTCAGGCAAGCTGGCTCACTTCTTAGCCCAGATGTGGCACCACATGGAGCGCTATGGGGGAATGTACCCAGACGAAGAAGCCTGGATTCACGCAGTGGTGTCCAACCTGGAGGGCGGCACATCCGGATGGCTGGTGTCCCTGCACAATGCTGGGGCGCAGGAGCTGGGTGACCTAGATGCATTCATGCAGATCCTGCAGGGGTGGTTTGAGGATTCCATGGAAGCCTGGTGTGCTGAATACCACATCCGCACCCTTAAGCAGGGAAAGGGGCCGGTGGCAGAGTACATTCAGGACTTCTACAGCCTAGCCAGCTACCTTCCTGACTGGCCTGAGTGCATGCTGGTCTACTTCCAAGGTGGCCTAGATCGAGAGCTATACCTGAACTGCATATCCCGAGGGGTGCCGCAAAACTTGTAAGCGTGGTTCCGAGTGGCTGGCGAGGTTGAGATTGACCTGATGGAGTTCTGAGAGCACACTGCATAGGAAAGCCGGCCCCGCAGAGCGCCTGAGAGACGCCCAGGCTCCGGGGGGAAAGGGGGGCGTGTCCTCGGCTGCAGGAGGCCCTGGGAGCCCTGCTTCTGCTGCAGAAAGGAGGGCCATCGAGCAGCCGAGTACCTCGCACCACAAGCAACCGCTCCTCCACCCACTCAGCAACCCAAGAAAAAGAGATCCCCGACGAAGCCGAAGGAGAAGACACACGTAGGGCAGCAAGTTGTTGAGTTCTCTCCTCAGTCCAGCAAGGAAGAGTGAATTCCAACCAGCCCCTGAAAGGGTCCAGTCTTCTATTAGAGCAACAGTGAGGGGGAAGACGACCCGATGGTAAGTGGCACCATCATACCCATATCAGCCTGGGTGGAGATTGTGGTGCCCTCCTCAGGGTCAAGGGGAGCCATCACGGCATTGCTGGACTCGGGTTGCACCCAGAGCGTGGTCAGCACCCAGGTGGTGGAAAGGCTGGGACTGAGACTAAAGAAACTGAGATGACCCCATGGCATTTCCCCAACTAGACGGGTCAATAACGGGAGGTTAGCCAGCCACCTGCCTAACCGAGCCGGTTTGGCTCAAAGTGGGGACTCAAGTAGAGACTGTTAAGTTTATTGTAGTCCCCAGGATGACTGAGCCCATGGTCCTAGGACTAGCGTGGTGGAAAAAGTGGAACCCCTCTGTGAGCTGGGATAGAGAATGGTGGCGGATGTGAAGAAGAGCTGTTCATCAGCAGGAGTCAGGGAAACTGCAAGGAGCCACCCACACACCTGCGACTAGAAAAGTAGAAGCGGAAGCCGTGAATACACTAAGAGGAGAGACGGTGGATTAGAGCCATTAATTCCAGCGGAATATCGCTACCTAGCTGAGGTTTTTGGCAAAAAGGAATCAGATGTGTTCCCACCTCACCGACCCACCGGTTTTGCGATAGAGTTCATGCCAGGAGCCAAACTGTCTAAGCCAAAAATGTAATCTATGACCTCCAGAGAGATAGACGAGCTCTGAGTGTTTATAGACAAGAAACTGGCAAGGGGGTTCATCCAGCCAGCGAAATCAAGAATGGCGGCCCCAGTGCTTTTCAAAGGACAGGTCCCTTAGACTGTGCGTTGACTATAGGGGGCTGAACTGCATATGTATGGAAAACATGTACCCTCTCCCCCTTATGAGGGACATGCTAGGCTATTTGGCAAAGGGGAAAATCTTCATGAAGCTGGACTTGAGGGAGGCGTATTACCGAGTGAGGATTAAGGAAGGGGACAAGTGGAAAACAGCATTTCATTGCCCCCTAGGCTGCTATCAGTTCCAAGTAATGCCATTTGGGCTGCAAGGGGCTCCTGCCATATTCATGCAACTGATAAATGAGGTCCTGCATGAGCATCTGTACAAGGGAGTCTTGGCGTACTTGGACGATATATTGATATACACCGAGACCCCTGAAGAACACATGAAGTTGGTCAGAGCCGTACTCGGGAAACTGCAGGAAGCCCAACTCTACGCAAAGTGTGAGTTCCACAAGACCCGCTTAAACTACCTGGGATACCGTATCTCCAATGAGGGAGTGGAGATGGATCCCAGTAAGGTGAAGACAATACTGGAGTCCCCTCGGACCAGGACACAACTACAGAGTTTCCTGGGCTTCGTGAACATTTACTGCCAGTTCATCCCCACTTTTGCCCAGATAGCCCTACCGATCACCAATTTTCTAAAGATGGGGAAGGGGCAAAACCAAAGCCCAGCTAGCCCTTGGATTGGTCCTTTGACTGCCAGGCCGCTTTTGAAAAGTTGAAGCAACTGTTCGCTGCGGAGCCGGTCCTGAAACACCCGGACCCAGAGGAGATGTTTGTAATATAGGCGGATTCCAGCAATGTAGCAGTGGGGGCAGTCCTATTCCAAAAGGAATGCAAAAGGGGAAATACAACCCTGTGCCTACACGTCTTGCAAGTTGTCCGACAGTGAAAGGCGCTGGGCTATCTGGGAAAAGGAGGCTTACGCAGTCCGATGGGCTCTCCTAACATGGCAACAGTTCCTGGAGGGTAGCAAGATCCCCTTTGAGGTCTGGACGGACCATAAGAACCTACAGTAGAAGCGCTGAAGCCTCCCCCCCCCCCGGAAACCTATCTCCTAAGCAGGTCCGGTGGACCTAATAATTTAACTGGTTCAACTTCATACTCCAGTATCTGCCAGGGGGGAAAACTTCCTTGCAGATGCCCTCTCCCGCATGCCACAGTACAATAGCGGCCGAGAGGCAGTGGGAGCACCAAGTACCCCATAGTTCAACCCTGAGCTACAAATATTCTTTTCTATAATTTTGAAAATTGATAGCAAGGCCATTCATTTGATAGTTTCCTCTTGGAAAATCAGGATTATCATCCAAGGTCCTCCGTTTTCTACATCTCCAATTTTTTTCTCCTAACAACCCTGAGAGGTAGGTTATAATAGGCTGAGTGATAGTGATTTGCCCAAGATCACAGTTCACATACCTGAGAAAAGAGTCTTGATCCTGCCTCTTGGACCTAATTGAAAGTTCTGACAATTACACCACAAAGGCTTTCTCAGTGTAATAATACAATCACATTTAAAATGATATCTATGAAAACAAAGAGTAAATTACTAAATATGATGACTTCTTTTTATAATAATGTTATTAAGTTTATCAAGATATAAAATACAAAAGAAAGTGAAAACAGTGGGACAATGGGGGGCGAAAGAGGAAGAGAAATAAGTGTAGTGTAAAGGAGAAAAAAGAAAAGAAAAATATTGACTTCTGACTCTTTATAGTACAGTAGAATAAGATAGTAACATTACAGCCTCAACTTTTTACTTTTACATACTAAGATGTATTGGCCATTTCTATAACAAACTTATCTAATCAGCAATAACGATGACTTCTGTCCTTCCAGAAAAAACTCTTATGGCTATAGAAAAAAGAGAGATGACAAGTTCACGGTGAGTATGTGATGTCTAGTTGTTCACTTGAGGCTAGAAGATTCTTGACTAACACAGCCTCAATGTGGAATGATTTGAAGTGATGTTATACAGCAACTAAGCAATAAAAACATATATTCTAAGTAACTCCAAATTGTCATGAGGTAAATGCCAAGGTTGCTGCTGACTCAAATTTGCATCAGACGTTCAAGTTGTTAAAGCAATTTTACAAAAATCTCCTCTTCCTCCTCCTCCTCTTCCTTCTCCTTTGGAATTCCTTTTCTGACCAAAATGAATCTGTTCTACAAAACATAGAAAATTCTCCCATAACAAAATAACTGATTCTCATTTTAGGTCTCAATGCTTTCCCACATACTCCTTGGTTTTTTAACTAACCATGTTCTTATTCTCTCCCTACCAACTATAATTTCAACCTCTTTTTTCTTATGCTTTTAAGTGGCATAATGTTTTGTTTGAAGACTAGAATCTGCCTTTCCATTTTTCCCACAGAACAGAGATATGCTTGCATTTAATGCTATTTTGTTTCATACTTTGGTCATATTGGTAAGGCAAAGAAACATTTTAATGGCACTTAATGCTTGGAAATTCTAACTTTTAAAAAAAGAAGATAAAAACTAACACCAAGCTAATAAAGTAAAGAAGAAGAAAAAAGTGAAGAGAAAGCAAAAAGTGCAAGAAAAGAAAAAAAGTTGAAAAATAGAAAAGAAAGCAAATACATACAAAGTGGCTTCTGATATTGTTCACAGCAGTTATAAGTACAATTATATTTTAACCTCTCTCTCTAAAGTTACATCATAATACTCTTCTTTCTATAATCTGTCCTGTGTAATCGTCAAAAGCCATAAATTACAAGTTCATTTGTTTCAGTTTTACACAAAAAGTCCATAAGAGATTTCCAGTCACCAATATAGATGGTGTATTTTCTCTAATCAAATAAGTTAATTTACCCATCTCAGCAAGATCTGTCAATTTCACCAACCATTTCTCCCTAGTGAATAGTATTGAATCTTCCCATCTCTCTGGGTGGTTGCTTTTCATGCATAAAACTCAGGTTGTGCCCAGAAAATCTGCACTAACTCTTTACACCTTAAAGTAGAAACTGAACAAAATTCTATTCACCTTGGCTTCTTCAAATGAGATGATGGTAAAGAGCTTTCTTTGTTGTATTACCTGCCCTCTGGGACAGCATCCCCTGGAGATTTGTTCCCCTCACAGTCTTCTGCCTTCAAGACAGCCTTAAAATCATTTTTTGAGTTGGGCAGCCTAGAAATTGGAGGATGGATAGATGGATGGAGTTATTAGTCCACTACATGTATACAGTTGTGTTTCTTTAGATTTTTGCTGTTTCCTAACAGTTTGTGCCCTTTTCCTTGAGGATTGATGTTGCCTTGCTTTCGTACCCTATGCTTCTCTTTCAGAGAGGACAAACGCAGTCTCCACCCACTCCAAAGCCACCGTCTCCAGGTTTTGAGCTGGGGTTGTCCAGTTTTCCTCCCTTGCCTGGAGCTGCTGGGAATCTAAAGACTGAAGACTTGTTTGAAAACCAGTTGTCAAATGTGATTGTTGCAACATCAAAAGAAAAAGTAAAAATCCACAGATGTCGGGCAAGGGTGAATTTGGGGACACATACTTGTTCACTCTAAAAATCATACAGTGAGGGAAAAAATTATTTGATCCCCTGCTGATTTTGTACATTTGCCCACTGACAAAGAAATGATCAATCTATGATTTCAATGGTAGGTTTATTTTAACAGTGAGAGACAGAATAACAACAAAAAAATCCAGAAAAATGCATTTCAAAAAAGTTATAAATTGATTTGCATTTTAATGAGTGAAATAAGTATTTGACACCTTCGCAAAACATGACTTAGTACTTGGTGGCAAAATCCTTGTTGGCAATCACAGAGGTCAGACGTTTCTTGTAGTTGGACACCAGGTTTGCACACATCTCAGGAGGGATTTTGTCCCACTCCTCTTTGCAGATCCTCTCCAAGTCATTAAGGTTTCAAGGCTGATGTTTGGCAGCTCGAACCTTCAGCTCCCTCCACAGATTTTCTATGGGATTAAGGCTAGGCTACTCCAGGACCTTAATGTGCTTCTTGAGCCACTCCTTTGTTGCCTTGGCCATGTGTTTTGGGTCATTGCCGTGCTGGAATACCCATCCACGACCCATTTTCAATGCCCTGGCTGAGGGAAGGAGCTTCTCACCCAAGATTTGATGGTACATGGCCCCGTCCATCGTCCCTTCAATGCGGTGAAGTTGTCCTGTCCCCTTAGCAGAAAAACACCCCCAAAGCATAATGTTTCCACCTCCATGTTTGACAGTGGGGATGGTGTTCTTGGGGTCATAGGCAGCATTCCTCCTCCTCCAAACACGGCGAGTTGAGTTGATGCGAAAGAGCTCAATTTTGGTTTCACCTGACCACAACACTTTCACCCAGTTCTCCTCTGAATCATTCAGATGCTCACTGGCAAACTTCAGACGGGCCTGTACATGTGCTTTCTTGAGCAGGGGGACCTTGCAGGGGCTGCAGGATTTCAGTCCTTCACGGCGTAATGTGTTACCAATTGTTTTCTTGGTGACTATGATCCCAGCTGCCTTGAGATCATTGACAAGATCCTCCCGTGTAGTTCTGGGCTGATTCCTCACCGTTCTCATGATCATTGAAACTCCACGAGGTGAGATCTTGCATGGAGCCCCAGACCGAGGGAGATTAACAGTTATTTTGTGTTTCTTCCATTTGCGAATAATCGCACCAACTGTTGTCACCTTTTCACCAAGCTGCTTGGCGATAGTCTTGTAGCCCATTCCAGCCTTGTATACTTCTACAATCTTGTTGTCCCTGACATCCTTGCACAGGTCTTTGGTCTTGGCCATGGTGGAGAGTTTGGAATCTGATTGTGTCAGAGCCCCTCAATTGTATTTGCCTTGAATCCTTCCCTTTTCCCTCTCTTGCTTTTGCCTACGTATTTTCGGGGCTTGCCATATTATTGGGTGAGGGAGCCTGCAGGGGGAATATTATCTGCTTTGTTCTACTCTGGGTGAGATGCCCTCCTTCTGGGCAAGAGGAATGTGACCTGAAAACATCTGCCTTATCTCCAGACAACGGATCCTGGGACCATTGAGAAACGAAACCAGGAGAGACCTTGAGAAGCCCGCTAAATCTCTGGATTCTCATGACACTGTGGCACCTGTGGATTGGCTGGATTTCAACCAGCCGGTTGGACACTGGGGGGAGTAGTTGTGAATTGCCTTTTTGATGTAACCCTTTACTCGCCAAATCTCAGACTTTGCTTTGCTCTCTTGCCATCACTAACTCTCAATAAAAAGTTCCTTTTGAGACAATGCCTGTTTCAAGAGTTCTGCTTTCTTGGGAGATCTAGTTGAGGCAGGTCCTTACATATTGCTTCTGTGGACAGGTGTCCTTTTTACAGGTAACAAGCTGAGATTAGGAGCACTCCCTTTAAGAGAGTACTCCTAATCTCAGCTCGTTACCTGTATAAAAGACACCTGGGAGCCATAAATCTTGCTGATTGATAGGGGATCAAATACTTATTTCACTCATTAAAATGCAAATCAATTTATAACTTTTTTGAAATGCATTTTCTGTATTTTTTTTTGTTGTTATTCTGTCTCTCACTGTTAAAATAAACCTAACATTAAAATTATAGACTGATCATTTCTTTGTCAGTGGGCAAACGTACAAAATCAGCAGGGGATCAAATAATTTTTTCCCTCACTGTAATTTCTTAATGGTATTTGTGATTGCTCTGGGAAAAGAGGCTCTGGAACACCCATCTATAAAGTACTACTTTCTCCAGCAGGCTAATAGTCAATTTTGTATACAGGTAGTCCTCAGCTTACCACCATCATTGAGCCCATAATTTCTGCTGTAAGTCATGACGGTCATAAAGCAGGTCACCACATGACCAGATCCAATTTTACAACTTTTTTGTGGTGGTGGTGGTGATCTGAATAAGGAGGTTGTTTGCTGTGGGGCTTTTTTTTGCTGGAAACGGGAAGTAAACATCACATGACTGGGGCACTGTGAATGACTATAAATTGGGGCTGGTTGTTGAATGCCCAAAATGTGGTAATGTTACCAGGGATGGGGTGCAGAACTTTTAATCTGGGTCATAAGAAGGTTTTTCGTTTGCTACCTGTCGTAAGTCGAGGACTAGCTATAGCACTGTTGTACTTGGTAGTGGACTTGCCAATACATATATACAGTGCATTCAGAAAGTATTCAGAACCCCTTTACTTTTGTCAATTTTGTTATGCTGCAGCCTGATTCTACAGTTGTTGAAATTCATTTTTTTCTCATTAATCTACACTCAATACCCCATAATGACAAAGTGAAAACAGAATTTTAGAAATGTCTGTAAATTTATTAATAAGAAAAAACTGAAATACCACATCAGCATAAGTATTCAGACCCTTTGCAACAACAGGTGAAATTTAGCTCAGGTACCTCCCATTTCTCTTGATTGTTGCTGACATGTTTCTACACCTTGATTGCAGTCAACCTGTGGTAAATTGATTGGACATGATTTTGAAAGGCAAACACCTCTCTATAGAAGGCTTCACAGCTGACAATGCATACTGTAGCACAGGGGTGTCAAACTTGCAACGTCACGTGACGTGTTGCGACGTATCGTGACTTTTTTCCCATTGCCGGCAATGGCGTGGGCGCAGTTTCAGCATGACGCATCTGGCCCGTGGGCCGGCAGTTTCACACCCCTGCTGTAGCAGAGCAAAAGCCATGAGGTCAAAGGAACTGCCTGCAGAGCTCAGAGACAGGATTATTGTAAGGCACAGATCTGGGGAAGGCTGCAATAAAATTTCTGCTGCACTGAAGGTTCCTAACAGCACAGTGGCTTCCATAATTCTCAAATGGAAGAAGTTTGGCACAACCAGGACTCTTCCAAGAGCTGTTCGTCTGGTAAAACTAAGCAATCGGGGCAGAAGGGCCTTAGTAAGAAAGATGACCAAGAACCTGATGGTCACTCCTACTGAGCTCCAGAGATCCTGTGTGGAGATGGGACAGAGTTCCAGAAGGACAACCATCACTGCAGCCCTCCACCGATCTGGGCTTTGTGGCAGAGCAGCTAGACGGAAGACTCTCCTCAGTGCAAAACACATGAAAGCCTGCTTGGAGTTTGCAAAAAAGCACCTGAAGGATTCTCAGACTGTGAGGAACAAGATTCTCTGGTCTGATGAAACCAAGATTGAACTGTTTGGCCTCAATTCTAAACGTTATGTCTGGAGGAAACCAGAAACCGCTCATCACCTGCCCAATATCATCCCAACAGTGAAGCATGGTGGTGGCAGCATCATGCTGTGGGGGTGATTTTCAGCAGTAGGGACAGAGACTTGCCAGGGTTGAGGGAAAGCTGAATGGAGCAAAGTACAGGGATATCCTCAATGAAAACCTGTTCCATAGTGCTCAGGACCTCAGACTGGGCCGAGGGTTCACTTTCCAACATGACAACGATTCTAAACACACAGCCAAGACAACACTGGAGGGACCTGAAAATGGCTGTTCACTGAAGGTCGCCATCCAACCTGACTGAGCTTGAGAGGATTTGCAAGAAAGAAGGGCAGAAAATCCTCAGTCCAGGTTTGCAGAGCTTGTCGCGTCATACCCCAAAAGACTCGAGGCTGTAATTGCTGCCAAAGGTGCTTCAACAAAGTAGTGAAGGGTCTGAATACTTATGCCAATGTGATATTTCAGTTTTTTCTTTTTAATAAATTTACAGACATTTCTAAAATTCTGTTTTCACTTTGTCTTTATGGGGTACTGAGTGTAGATTAATGAAGGAAAAAATGAATTTTAACAACTGTAGAATCAGGCTGCAACATAACAAAATTAACAAAAGTAAAGGGGGTCTGAATACTTTCTGAATGCACTGTATATTTGTTTCAACTCTGCCTCTAATGGTATTATGTTAAGTTATAAACATAATGTGTTGAATTGAAATGTAATTTAAATGATTTTAATTTTGTTTTCCTCAGAACACAAAAGATCATTGTCTGGGTGTAAGTACAAACACTGTAGCATCTAGAATTCCTCATGAGCCTTCTTTGCCAGTTTCTTCTACTCTGCCAGGGACATTTGAACAATCTCCTTCCTCATCTCAATCTCCCTAGTAAGGACCTCATAATACAAAGCTTTCAAAATATTGTTTTGAATGAACATTTTACATTATCAAAAGGCTAGACGTCATTATGTCAATAGCTCTTGAACTTTTCATAAATAACACTGCTTATGTAATACCAGCTACCTATAATTTTTGTCTGAATTATGCAAAAGCAAATACTGACTTACAGCTTGATTGTCAATGTTGTGAGAAGTATCCGTCTGTCTCCAAGAAAAAGTTTCTTACAATATAGATAGATACATTTTGTTCTCATAGTGGTGATCTGCCTTTTGCATATGGATGTCACTGTGCAGAAGATAGAATTGAGGTATTTTCATTATAATCACATCTTCCTTTCTATTACAGTGATCCCACAGTTATGGACAAACAGCAGAGAGAAACTCAAAATATTGAAAGACTTTCTTCTGTTCTTTCTACTGCTTGTAAATCATTACAAGTCAATGGGGCTTTTGTAGCAGTAAGTGCATTTTGATTTTTATAAGAAGTTGATGAGGACCTTTAGGTTTTTAGTTTTTCATTTTCATTTTTAGTTACTTTAGAGGAGAGATTTATTGCCATTGTATTATGCAAATCCAGCTGTTCTGATAGTTTCGAAGAAACCATACTTTTTTTTAATAAAAGTTTTATTGATTTTTAAGAATTACAGTCTTTAGTGCTTAGTAAACAACATGTCTGGGTTTGTATATTTAACATTGATTTCTTCAATATAAATCTGTTCAATACTACACAATCCAGTATTTTTTCCCTGATCCTCCTTTCTTCTCCATATTTTTTCCATTTTCCCCTCATTACACAGTTACAATTTTTGGTACTGTTAATGTATACAGAGTTAAATATAAGCATCTTCATCATATTTTACTAATATCATACAAATAATAATATCAATTATAAATCAATAATGTCAATTCATTAATCAATATTCTGTTTTTCATGCTCTTAAGGTTTGATTTCCCATCAGTATTTGAACTATCTTTATCAGTTATGATTTTCTCAATAATAATAATAATAATAATAATAATAATAATAATAACAACAACAATAATAATAATAATAATAATAATAATAATAATAATCTATATAAATAAAAATGTAAATGTTTGTTTGTTCAAAATCTTAAATCTCCGAAAGTTCTTCACCGATTGCTTTGAAATTTTGACACAACGTTGCATTCGAATACGCGCGCAATTTTATATACCTATATTATATAGATGTCACACCTGTGACAGGTAAAAACATGCTTTTTTGAAAAACAGCGCCATCTGTTGGACGCTTTGAAATTGCCATTGAACATGCAATTCAATTCTTTCTTTTCCATTTAACCAGACTGAGCCACAGCAACGCGTGGCCGGGTACAGCTAGTAATAATAATAATAGTAAAGTTGGAAGGGACCTTGGAGGTCATCTAGTCCAACCCCCTGCTCAGGCAAGAAACCCTATACCATTTCGGACAAATGGCTGTCCAGTCTCTTCTTAAAAACTTCCAGTGTTGGAGCATTCACCGCTTCTGGAGGCAGGTTGTTCCACTGGTTAATTGTTCTAACTGTCAGGAAGTTTCTCCTTAGTTCTAGGTTGCTTCTCTCCTTGATTAGTTTCCACCCATTGCTTCTTGTCCTGCCTTCAGGCGCTTTGGAAAATAGCTTGACTCNCTATACTATACCTGTGCATTTGGTTTTTCTTGCCTAAATGTAGAACCTTGCTTTTTTCACCATTGAATTTCATTTTGTTAGATAGTGCCCAGTGTTCAAGTCTGTCCAGATCCTTCTGTATCTTAAGCCTGTCTTCTGGAGTGTTGGCTATTCCTGCCAGCTTGGTGTTGTCTGCAAATTTGATGAGTTCCCCATCTATTACATTTATATAGCTAAAAGTTTTATTCATATCAATCCTCCTCTTATCTTCATATTTCCCATATCAAAAAAAGAAAAAATGCTTAGTTCTAAATCATATATTTCATTATAAAAGTCTAATTATATATAAGGGTCATCCGTTCTTTTAATCTTATTCAAACAAGTATTTAAACAGATAATGCTCCCTCTAAAAGGTCAAATCTTCTGTTTTTTTTAAATCTGATTCTTGCTTTCTTTTTTTGCCAAGTAGCTTTCCAACCCAGGGCAATTAGATTGCCCAGGAATTTTCTTTCTATTTTTGTAAAAAAAATGCTTGGCATGAGGAAGACAATTTAGGTAGGGTATTTTTGGGGGGGGAATTCCACCCATTTATATTCCTTAAACAACTCCCAGTTCCTTTCTCCCTCCATTTCTCTTTTCATTCCCTGTGTCCCAAGTTGTGAAATTTCCCCTAACAGCTCTATACGCCATTTTTTAAAATCTTCTTCCTTGCCATCAGATATATTTTGCAGACCTAAGGGGTAAAAGGTCTTTTGCATTTTCATTGTTATAGCTAAGTCTTGCAGTATTTTGTTTATATATAGTCATTCATATTTCCCTTCTTTTATCTCTTCCATCTCTAAATCCATTTCCTCTGTTTCGTCTTCTGATTTCTGGTTTATTTGTTCATACTTTATAGTCGTTATCTGGAAACTTTCTAGTTGTAGATTTAATTTGGAGATTTGCTCGTTTATATTGTCTAAATTGTTTTTAGTCTCATGAGGACATTCTTTTTATGTCCTCTTTGCATTCAACAATTGTTTGGTGAATTAATTGTAGCATAGAATATATTTCTTTCTGAAAGGTGTTTGTTTTTTCTTCAGGCATCATTCCTAGAGATCCTCTAGTATCACCAGTCTCAGTAAAAGTAGATCAAAGTTTCCTGTAGTTATCTGGTCTTTATATGTATCCTTTATAATCCAATAGATTCCAAAGTATAGGTTCAGTCCTGAAGGCAATATTTTATAGTGATCCTTTGTCTCAAGTATCCAAAAATTGTCAATCAGGCAAGGTTGTAATCCACAATGTTCAAAATGTTCAACCTCTCTGAAAACAGCTCAAAAGTCTCTCCCAGCCAGGCGTAGTCCAAGGTCAATTTTTTCTTTCTCTCCCACTAGCTCTTGAAGTTAAAAGTCCAAGTTCAGTAGGTATTTATAATCCAAGAAGGTCAGGGTGATAAGTATGCCAAAATATTTTCCTTTATTGCCAGCTGTTCTCCCGAGCTAGGAATCACCAAGCAGCCAGGAAGCAAATTATAGTGCTATACACAAATCCACCACTAGATGTCACTCCAAGTCCATTTTCCACTCTTAAAACAAAGGATTGATTTCTTATATTTCGCCTCAATTTTTTTTTCAAAGAGAAAATCTTAAGTTATCTCAGTTCTCAAATTTATCAAAAATGTAGCTTTATGTTACTTCCACTTCAGTATTGTATGTTTCTGTCCCCCATAAAATTAAAATGCCGCTTCCGTTTACATTTGGAGGTTTTTAGCTTCTTGGGAGCCTTTCCCAGGAAATTCAGTTGTAAAATAGTAAAGAAAGGATCAATATTCTCACCCAGTTCCAAACATGCTGTTTATGATGTATTAATTGGTGCTTTTTTCTTCTTCGGTTGTCAGCAGCTAATGGCTGGCCACAGGAATGTAGCCGGTCTTTCCCCTGCTGGTTTGGAGGGCTTTCTTTGGATCGAACGGAAAGACTGCTGTCTCTCCGTAATCAACAAGGCACCCCTCCTCTTCATCTCCTCTTCGGGGCGATTTTAGGCCCTTTTTAGGGCCCCCAGCAGGGCAAAATCGGGTGCAGAAGGCAGAGCCCTGCCTTCCTGCGTCCCGTCCTGCCGCGACGCAAACCAGATGTCAGAGGCCATCATACTTATCAAAGATCTCTCTAAACTCTGAATTCCAGCTTTTTTACAGAGGGCAGGCTTATAAGCCTTGAAATTATGACATGTTGAATCAAAAAGTTACAATTAAACACCAGCAGCAAAATAGTCAAAATGGCATTTCGGCAGTGAATCCACTGTGTCAAAAACAGATACGTTAATATCTATCTTCCAAAGCTGTTACTTGCCGAGAATCAAGAACTAAACCATAATGACTGGTTATGCCATTGTTTGTTATGCAAATCCAGCCATTTTAATTTGAAAGCCTTGGATTATGATTCAGTCTGTTGTTTGAATTAAAGCAGTTGCGGTTTATTTACCAACCATGACATAGTACTGTGGTTCATGTCTCATTGTGACTGTGTTTCAGCCATCCTCCTGATATTTGCTCATACAGGTATTCCTTGACTTATGTCCATTTGTTAAGCAACCATTTGAAGTCATAGCGACCAGTCCCCACAGTTACGGTCATTGCAGCACCCTTGCAGTCACATGACCAAAAATTGAGCATTTGGCAGCCCACTCAACCACAGGGGTACTTCAGCTCACTGGCAGCTGTGGCTTCCTGGGGTGGCTGCAGCTTTGTGCCGCACTACTGGGCTATGCTGGGGCTGGGCTTTGCGCTGTGCTGTGGCTAAGGGTCTTCTTGTAGCCCTAGACACACAGCACATCAAGAAGCCATTTTGTGGCATGCTGCTGGGCTGGGCTAGGCTGAGGCTTCTAGGCTACGGACTCGCTCTGCAGCTCAGGAGCTTCCTACAGCCCCAGAGGTGCAGCACACCAAAAAGCCCCTGAGCTGAAGCATGGCAAGCAGCCCCAGAATTGCATGATTATGTGGCTGCTTACCGCCCCACAGGGCAGGGTGCAGGGCAACCAAAAGAGCAAAGGTGGGGGAGAGGAAAGGGGAGGGGGAGTTGGAGGCAATCTGTTACTGAGGCTCATGGCTGGGAGAGACCAATCCCAGAATGGCTTGGAATGGGGTGGGCTCTTGATTAACAACTAGTGGAATTCAGTTACCAGCAGCAGGAGTGCCGGGAGTGCTGTCACTAAGCAATTCAGTCATAAAGTGTGACATCAGGTGACCACGTTGCTTAGTGAAGGTACTCCCGTTGCTGTCGTTAACAGAATTTCACTGGTCATATGTCGCGCTTTATGACAGCATTGCTTAGTGATGGAAATTTCAGTCCCAATTGTAATAAGTTGAGGATTACCTGTATGCCTTACATTATTTTCCCAAATAACTTCCACAGAGACTGAAACTGCAGTGCGATTTTTATCACTCTGAAAATGTTATGCTGTGATGCCCATCAGCGGTTCAAGATTCCAGTACACAATTGAATGTCTTACTCTATTCATCTTTACATTTCAATTATACAGAACAACAACATTGCTTAAGGAGTAAATCTTCATGGAGAATTACAAACCTAAGCATGTCCTTCATATTTTATGCAGACTGATACTCGTGGTGGTGACAAAACTGTTCAGTTTTATTTTTTGTTTTTAATAATGCAGGAGTGGCGGAAACCTAGTTATGCAGAAATCTGCCAGAGGATTAGTAAGGATCCACCTCCATTACAGTCCCCAAAAGAACAGAAGCCAAACACTGTTGGTTGTGGGAAAGAGGAAAAGAAGCCCACAGAAACACTAGAAAGAAGCAAAGAATTGCCTCCTGTGAAGTCTAAAGACCAACAGAGACCATCAGGACGGAGGTCACCTCTTTCTCCAGCCATTGGGAAATGTCTAACTAAAGAATAGAATGCCCCTCCCAAATCTCAATGAAACTAGTACTTAGGATGAATTTCAAGAAGTTTTCACTATGAAGTTACCCCATGTTGCAACTCAGAATACAAAGGAGTTGCTGGTTAAAAGCTTGCAGGGGGCATGAAGTATATGAAATGCTTGCTAGGTATTTTTCATTGTTTGTTGTTTCTTTTTGTTTCTTTATAAAATAGATTTTTCCTCCTCTTTCTTGCATCCCCACCATCAAATTCCCCTTGAGCAAACAGTCAACTCTGTCAGGGTTTAATTAATCTAAAACTTACGTTTGGTTGGTGCTGAACTTAAGTTGATGCTTAAAATCTTATTTTTTCCCCTTAGGCAGAAGATGCATTTATCTAAAATCCATTTTTTATTAAACCTCTGTGTGGCTGTGTGATTACAAGCTCGCTCTAATGAGTTTTTTTCCTAACTTACTAGGCAGCAAGTGCTTACTAGTGCTGGTGTAGTTTTTAAATAACTGTGCTATAAGTAGGAATCTTTAAAAAAAAATCCTGAAGACTAATAATAGCAGCTAATGCATAGGGTGTAAAGCAGAACAGATGTTTTATAAAACAGTAAGATGAGTTTAACTTTTTCCTTTTAAATGTGCTATAGCACATCAGCAAATAGGCTATACTTTTAAAAAGTTTAAAACATAAAACTGGTTCTAATATTTTAAATTCCAACCATTTTTGTTCTTGACCAAAGGAGAACTTCATAAAGATCATCTGTGAGTAGTGTTCTCTGAACTATTTGTGTTGATAGACAGCAAGCAAGTAACCAATTTCTCAATCCAAACTAAAACAATACCTTGAATTTCAGGAAAAGAAAAAAAGCACATTATGAATTAAATTAAGTAAATATGCCCTTGTGCATGGCACATGCAAGCTAATAGCTGTTTTTCACAAGATAGCACAATAGCATTCTTGTGACAAAAAATTCAATTTTTTCCTTCCCTCAACCGAGTAAGCTAATTTTGAACCCTTTACTGGTTTAACTCCTATGCTCTTTATAAGTTTTTAAAACTGGCTCCAAATGCTCTTTGAAAGAGTTAATATCTTAATCTGAGTGCTGACACCTTCTGTAACTACCAACATTGGCATATGGATTTAAAAATTTTTAGTCCATGAATTGATGGTGGTTTTTGTGTGTGCATGTATGTGGAAGGAAGAGATTGCCCTGTGTCCTGCCTGGGGTGAGATTTGTCACACTTACTTTAGAAGTGACATGCTTTCTGAAGAACAAGGCTGCACTTAAATTAACAAGTTTCTAATAAAGATGCTGAGAAATTATATTTCTTTTAAATACCTAAAGTTTTTCCTTTGAGTGTTTAAGCAGCAGATGGTTCAGATCAAAAGGTGTTCCTGCTAAGTACAGTTTATCCCACACACACACACACACACACACAGAGAGAGAGAGAGAGAGAAAGATTTATTTAAACATCTGTGTTTTTTTTAAAGAATTATTTCCATCCAATCTTTAAAAACTTGAATTTTATTTAAACTTGAAAATGACTTTGCCTTAACTTTTGTATAAGACAACTTAGAATTATTGAGGTCTGACCCTCTTAAGGGTTAGCACAGGGTGGTATATACCGAATTACTCAGTTACAGTATATATGTATTGTCACTGGTCTTACTGGGTAAACATACTCTAGTAAAGGTTGTAGTGGCAGTTTTTGTAATATACCTTAAAAGATCTGAAGCAGTTGATCTTTTTCAAAATGTTAAAATATCTGTAAATGGAAATAGTCAATACTGTATTAAAATGTGCACTTGGAAGTGTGCTTTTGCTTGTACAGGTGTAAATAATCAGAACATATAAAAGGGTACCATTAAAACTTGATAAAAATTGATATATTATCAATGTTGCTGTTGAACTGGATGTAGATAAATTAAGTGTTGCGGTTTGAATATTACTTTGTTTTTCCATTGTATCTTTTTCTTTAAGCTGATGTGCTGAGCTGAGTCTACCTCTTCACTGCAAAGGAGAATGGAAAGAAGTGTCTTTAAAAGTCCTGACATTTTAAACACTTTCTGGAAGTTTTGCATTTCATTCATGTGGAACAGAGGGGTGCAATGTAAATTTCAATTCTTAGGAACTGAAATTAGTAGTATTATTTTAGTGAATTAGAAAGAAACAACATTGCCACCAGAAGCTCCCACCCCAAGTACACTCAACCTCTCTTAGGCCAACATGTTAGTAAAGCTGGATTCAAACAAACAAAAACACTAGGACAGTTGATCTCCTAACATAAGTTGCTGCTATTTATAATTATCCCTTGCCAAAAGAAAAAGAAACAAACCAGCTTGCTCCTTGCACTGCACTGTTTAAATTGGCAACTTGAGTCTTGTTTGTTATTTCTTGAGAAGACACACAAGGAGAGAGTAAAAAAACATCTTACTTACCATTTGATGGGTTTTAACATTGGTCCTTTCCCCAATGAGCAGTGAAAGGGGCAGTGAGACAGGAGGTATGATTTAGGTCAGCTATGAGTTGTCTTTGTTTGCCTGCTGAGAGCATGAATAAAACAGCTGCAAACAAAGAGGAAAGTGGCCACAAGTATTAGAGCTAAATCATTGGTTATTAGAGAATTTTAATTTCTCTGTTGTTGAAAATAAATCAGAAGCTCTCACAGTTGACTGCATTTAGCTGATTCAAATAAACTCTTTATATTCATATAAAAATATTTACAATACCATATATTCTTCTTCATAGCAACATAGCATAAATGAAGACTTCTTACAGCAGAGACAGACCTGAAAACTGAAACAAAATCCAGCTCCTAACTCCAAACCTTTGCACAGACTCAGTAGCACTTTCTTCACATTGGCTGACTGAGTTACCACATGACTCTTCCTGCTCATGAATATTCCAACACTCCTCCCTTCATGACAGGAAGAGACATCAGACCTATTGACTTAATACACTTTCCATAGTGAATACCACCCAATGGTTTAGTCATCATGTCTGCCAAATTATCCTCAGAAGAACAATGATGTAAACTAATCAATTTTCCTTTTACAGCTTCCCTGACATTACAATACTTAATGTCTACATGTTTACTTCTGTTCTTCACCCTGTCACCAGTTGCCATTTTTATACAGGCAGCATTGTCTTCAAATACCT